ATATCAATATTAAAATTTATATTATTTTTTATTTTTATTTAAATTTATAGTTATAAAATACATTTGTTAGACTCTTATATTCCAAAGATAACTTAAGAATATAGACTTAAATTGGATAAAATATGATTAAAAAAAATCGAATTAGACTAGATAATAGATATGATGGATCATGTTAAATCCAATAATATATTTGGTCCATTATGTGATTAAAACAAGATTGGATAAGTTTAGAAAAAAAAAATTTTTGATTGGATAAAACTATTTATCGTATTGACAAAAACACCTCTGATATTGCAGTTCAATTTTTTTTTTAACAATTTGTAATTATTTACAAGATTAATTGAAAGAGAAGGGAAAAAAATTCTGTGGGATTCGAACGTGCAATTCACTAAAGGTGAACAGCCATAACTTAAGGACCAATACTATTGGATCGAAGTGGCCGTTCAATTTCTTTTCTTTTCTTTTCTTTTCTTTTTATGCCGTAATTCAATTTCTTTATAGACGTATAAAATTCAATTTCTTAATAAATAAATAAATAAATAAGAGAAACGTATGACTTTTTCCTCTTTTTTTTTGGCCTTGGAAAAACGTAGTATTAAATTATTTCCAACTTTTCTTGCATTTTTCTATCCGTTTCCAGCAATTTCATTTTCATTTTCCCGAGTCTCAAACATCTCCATCTGCACAGGATGTTGACTATTACCCTTGTCTCTCTATTCTTCTCTATTTTGTCTTGGCTAAATGTACAAATGGCCTTTTAATATTTTTAAGTTGAGGTAAATTGTAAAAAAAAAAGGAAAGAAATAATTTATCACTATAAATTTTTATTTTTTAGAAATTAGTTTAAATGTATTTTTTTATTAAATTTCATTAAATTATTATTTTTCTGAAATTTTAATAAAAAATTTTAGATTAATTTCTTTAAAATAAAAATTTATAGTAATAAATCGAATTAATGTATTTTTTAGTAGCAATTTACTTTAACACGCAATTTTTAGTATATGCACCTTTTGCCTTTTGTTTTCCTCACTAATAGGTTCCCTTTTCTTCTTTTTCTCAGACAGCTAGAGTTCCCATCCCAACTTCACACAATATATTAAGAATTTTTTCATCATTTTTAATAAGAGTAGCATATATTGTATTTTTATATCATTAATTTACATTAAAAAATTATAAAAACTAACTTTATTTTTGACATTTAGAATGATTTTATTAAATGGTTAATAAAATTAAAATATGCAATTTTCACTTTGATGTAGGGGTAATTATTGTACTTTTTCATCAATAATTTATATGATAAAAATAAAAGTTAATTTAAATTTTATTAATTATTTAATTAAATTATTTTACATGAAATTAACGTTAAAAATAAATTTTATTTTTATATTTTATATTATATATATTTTTTGAACATGGGAATATAAGGAAGGGGGATTGAGTTACAAGGATTAAAACCAATGTTTTAATCTTAATATATCTGCACCTTATCTAGTGCAACAAGTGCTACGGTGCTTTTATATTTTTTTATATAAATTAAAAGTAAAAAATATAATAATAAATACATTTTAAATGTGTGTATGTAGGTATATGTTAGAAAACCTATATTAATATAGTCCTTATCGGACCCATCAGCATACAGGCCGGTCCGTCGGAAAACACGCCCACCGAAAAATAATATTAATATAGGCCTCATCGGGCCATTAGCATACAGGCTGGTCCGAGATTGGAATCAAAGGTTTTGGGCTTCAGCGAACAACTTAACAAGGTGGGCTCTAGGCTGCAAAATAAAAAAACTACATAACAAGGTTGGATAAATATTGTATTTCAGGCTTCAAGCCCATTGGGTTCTAAGTATTTCATTCAAAAAACTATTTTTCTTTTTTTACTAGGAAGTTAGTATAACTTAGTTATTAGTAACTGGGATTCCAGAATGATAAACATTCCACCTCTCAAATGAAGCACACGACCATTAAACCGCAAGTTGGTGGAGTTCACAGCAGTAATAGAACTCGAAGTCCTGACCTCCGTCTCACCCAAACCCTAATACTTGAGGCGAACCATTGGACCTCAAGCCTGTTCACATTCAAAAAACTATTTTGAAAGAGGAAAAAGGGAAAATGGATTTCCTAAAATCCTTTGATCTTACATAATGTACTAAGGATTACATAAGGAAAATAATCTTTGATCCATATTTTTTTTTTGCATTAAAAAAGGAAAATAGAAAATACTATATTTTCCGAACTTGGTCCAATTAGTTCACACATGAATGCTTTAAAAGTTCGTAGGCACGAGGGTTTAAGAGTTCTAATCCTTCTGCACTTGCGGCCTTAACCGTAATGGAAAGATGGAAATGCACCAATGCACTTGATTTTTTTGTCAACTTCAAGCTGCTAATGCAGTAGTAGTGTAATTATTTTTCCATCCCCTATTTCCCACTGGTAAAAAAAAAAAAAAAAAAAAAAAGGGAGTTCTAATCCTTCTAGAACTCGAACCAAAATCGCCACCTAATCTCTATATAAATCAACGAACTTTCTTCCTCTCTATTCCAATCAATTTTCATCGACTTTTTCTAACACTCAAAGCTTGAAGGTTTCTTGCAATGGCTTCTTCAACCTCTGCTCTCAGAAGTCCTCTTTCTTCATCCCTAAAGCTGCTAGCTCAGCCCAGATCACACCCTTCTTCTTCTTCATCACTTCCAAAAACCCTGTTTCCTTCTTCAAATCTCAACAAAAACCAATTCCTAACTCAAACCCTCAAACTGAACAGCAAAGACTACAATTGTCTCTCTCTTTTCAAACGATCTTTCAGCTGCAAAAGTCAGGCTAACCCATCTGGGGATCCAAGACCCAGTAAGCTCCTTTCTCTGTTCTGCATTAATTATTATTCTCTGTTTTTCGTTTTGATCTTTTGATGAGTTTCTGGGGTTTAATGTTCTGTTTGTTAATTTGTTGCAGCCAAAGTTCAAGAATTGTGCGTTTATGAGATCAATGAGAGAGATCGCGGCAGCCCTGCGTATCTCCGACTGAGCCAGAAATCGGTCAACTCTCTCGGTGATCTTGTCCCTTTCAGCAACAAGGTAAGTTCTTTCACTTGTTTTCCCGTAAAGCCTTTGGCTTTACTTTCTCCGTGATGAGAAAAGGAAAAAGGATAAAGTCATTTGAAGTTGAAAGAGATTAGTGATCAAATTGCACAATTGCAAGGTTGAGAGGGCCTAATTCAACTATACTCAAAAGTTTGACGAGCATTTATGTGATTCACCCTAATTTTGTGTCCGTGTCGTTACAGTTGTACACCGGAGACCTGCAGAAACGGGTAGGGATCACAGCGGGACTATGCATCTTGATCCAGAACAAGCCGGAGAAGAAAGGCGACCGGTACGAGGCGATCTACAGTTTCTACTTCGGAGACTATGGCCACATATCGGTGCAGGGATCGTACCTGACCTACGAGGACTCGTATCTGGCGGTGACCGGTGGGTCGGGGATTTTCGAGGGAGTCTACGGTCAGGTTAAGCTGCAGCAGCTGGTCTTCCCTCTCAAGCTTTTCTACACGTTTTACCTGAGAGGCATCGGGGACTTGCCCAAGGAGCTTTTGGGGAAGCCCGTTGAGCCCAGCCCAGCTGTCGAGCCCAGTCCATCGGCTAAAGCTTGCGAGCCGACCGCCACCATTGTTAATTTCACGGATTAGTTACTTTTATTCGAGTTGGTTTAAATGGATAATAATGTCTGAAAATTATGTTACTATTTTTTATGTTTAATTCCCCTTTTAGCTAAAGGTACGTAGTAGAAAATAAGGTTGGCTATATATATTGTAACGTTGAGAAGTAATTGCTTCCTTTATGTTGCCTTTTTCTAAACTTATATATAAAGGGGTACGGTTATCGTTACATTCTAATTGA